AAAAAAAAAAAAATATATATATTTTTTAATTTGTGTTATTTTATATTTTTAAGTGAGCAGGAAACACTGCAGATTTCTCACAAAAAGCTGTGCTAGAGATTGAAATCAACACCGTCATCAGAACAGATGCTTCTCTTGGGTCATTGCTTATGTTTCTCCATCTTACTATTATTTTAGAACAAAGCTTTATGTTCAAACCACCAAACTGTTCAAACATCTCGTCACATTTCCTGATGAGCAGTTGCTACATCATGTGCTACATCTCGGCAGTTCATGGCTGCTACTTCCTTCCTACAATTCTATGAAAAAAGCAAGGCTGTAAGAAGTAATCTTTTTTTTTTTTCATGTTATGTTAGAAATATTGAAAGTCTTGAATTTGGTGGGTGTTTGGCACAGTTATTAGACTTAAAAATGTTAGAACCTGTTGAAGATCAAGCCATTGTTATGTCCTGATTTAACAAACATTAAACCTTTCTTCATCAGTAGTAAAACATTAAAGTTCCCAAAAAGCTGATTTAGCTAGAAACGTCACTTTTAAAGGAAGTCATTATGGTAAACCTAAAGAATCATACCTTCTTATGAGTTTTAAAAAAATCACAACATAAAATAACTAAAAAAAGAGTTAGCCCTTAAATAATCAGTGAAATTATATCCTGGTTATATTTTAGGTTTAGAAAAGTGGTGAAAGTAACATCTCTATATGTGATTCTCACAATATTACTTTAGCTAAAGTTTTATAAAATAACAACAGCATCCAAAATCAAGCCAACTTGACCTTACCAGTCCAGCTCTGTAGATATCCGCCTGTGGCCAAGACCCAAAATGGAGTCACAGAAAATTTGTTTGCGACTTTGACTTTTGACAGTAACAAAATAAGAGGGGGCTGTACCTTGGCAAACGGATGTTCTTAAAAGCCTGCGTGTGTGTGTGTGTGTGTTTCTGTAGACTCCTGAGGAGAGATATGACACATGACTTTGATTAACATTTTTTCCCAACCTCAATGCAAACTACCCTGCATGTTTTAGCTGTTCCCCTGCTTCAACACATCCCATTCAGATGACTGAAATTCAGCAAAGCCCTGTCAATCAGCCATCAATTGAAATCACGTGTGCTGAAGCAGGGGAATACCTAAAACTAAAAAGGAAGTGTGCATTGAGAACCAGTGCTAAAAAGAAATCGACCGTAAAACATTGATTCAATGACATCTTTTTAAAATTAGTTAATTGGCTAGAATTGGATTATTGTTTGATTGATCCACCATCAGTCATTGACCTTAACTAAAAATCTACTTTTATGACCATAATTCAATGTTGACTCAACATCGGTTGCTATGTGGGGAACCACACTGAAAATAGTAGTGTGGGTGCCTTACATTATTCTCAGTGAAAGAAGCCTATATTTATGTGACTGAAGGCATTGATAAGAAGTTTAAAGATATCTTAAAAGCTTAGCTAGTCATGGGGACTACAAACAAACACTACAAATAACAGGTAAATGATTAAAGAGTTAAAAAGAGAGTGCAGATTTTACTGCAGTAGATTTTCAAACCGAGTGATGCATCGTGTTCGAGCCACATGCTTCTACATCTGCTCCCTGTTTTCCCAGAAGACCAGAGCTAGCTGTTAATGCCCTAAAGCCACTTTAGAAGTATCATGTTGACTAGCAGTCTGCTAATGCAACCAATTACACTGCAGTAAGATTGGAAAATGACTGCATTTTCCATGATTGAGAAATGGTCATGGACTTAAGGACTCTTATGAAATATATGAATTAATTTCTTACAGTGCCTTGAAAGAGGATGGTTACATTTCACTAATGGTTACAGAGATGATGTTTAAGCAAAGGTTTGGCAGCCCATGGAAAACTGCAATTTTAACATAGAAATGACTGGCATTTTTGTCAAGTTTATTTGTATAGCACATTTCAGCAGCAAGGCGTGCTCTACATCATAAAAACACAAAACTTCGAATCATAGAACACACAGTCAACAATGGAAATATTACATTTTGTCAAGTACTATTGTTACTCATCAGAATGTCTAATGTTTTATTTATAATGTTTCAAAAGCAACTCTAAACAGGTGGGTTTTTAGTTTAGATTTAAAGGAACTCAGTGTTTCAGCTGTTTTACAATTTACTAGAAGTTTGTGGTGGAGAGCAGCTGAATACTGCTTCTCCACGTTTGCTTCTGGTTCTGGGGATGCAGAGCAGACTTCTGAGACCTGACAGCAGATCAACAACAGCAGATCTTAAATGTATTGTGGTGCTAATCTGCCCAGTGATTTATAAACTACAATTCAGCTTGACTTAAAGCAGAATTCACAATTTCATCAAGGGGGTTCTTTCTCAGGTATCAGGTTAATATGTTACACAAATTTAGTTAATAAGAGAATATATATTCAACCACTTAATATGGAATTTGTTGATTACTAACAATAGATTTTTTCAAAGAAATATAGTACTAAAAATAATAGTTATTCTAATAGCAGATCAGTAAACAAAATCCCTCAAAAATAATATAACGTTATATTTAAATCACTCAGACTATGCCAGCACAAAAATAAAATAAATAAATGTCCCAAAATTTCAGTTGGTGTTAATCAAAATAATGTCCACAATAGAGACCCATAGCTTCAAAAAAAAAAAGTCCTGAAAATTTTGCCCCGTTTCAGTCCAAAGTCCCACTCCAAAATTAAAAATCCAAAATGACAAAATCCCCCCCAAAAAGATGAGAAAAAATAATGGTACCACCAAAAATCAGCAAAAAGAAAAATAAATTCCAGATCTCACCTGGAGTGTCTTTCTTCCCCCTCGGTGGCATTCTCTTGCACCAGGCAACGTTTCCTGGGTGCAAGGCTGCGATCCAGTTTCCAAGCGCACAATCTGTGGTGCTGGGGCAAAATCTGACTGCTGTTTGTCTTTTCTTTAATTTTTTACTTGTTTTAAATATCCATTACAATAATCCTCCCCCTATACAGATGTGATGGTGTGTGTCTCCCTCTCTGACTGCGCCGCTGTGTGCCCACGCACCTTTTTATTTGGTTATCACAGCCACACCTAGAACCAGCATGATGCTGCCCAAAAATCAGTTTTAAACAGTGGAAACTTAGGAAATTTCAACAATCAAATGACTGAAACCATCCTAAAAAAAACAGCATACTTTTTAATTTATTTAATCAAAAGAAAACAAATATGGTGGTTATGTTAGAAAAAGTATCTTAAAGTCTATTCTCTGAGCTACAGGGAGCCAGTGGAAGGACTTTAGAATTGGGGTGATGTGCTCCATCTTCCTGGTTTTAGTGAGAACGCCAGCAGCAGCGTGAGAGCCAATAAATTCAATTTGCTCTGGAACCAGACAATCTCTAACATGTGGCAGATTTAAAATGACAGAGCAACAACATAAGAATAACACAGCTTAAAATCAGCAAAATATTAAACAAGCATGCTACAGAAAGGGAATTTATAATTAGTTTGAAATGCCTAATTCAACCCAGAAAATGGAAGGGTCTCTTTTTGAGTCGAACGTCAGTTGGGTCAAAGCAATGTCCAAAAATCCAAAAATTGATGGAAAATGGAGAAAAAACCTTGTTCTTTTAAGGCAGGCGTGAGGAAGCTGGTGTCCCAGCTGGAGATTCTCAGAAGAACCTCTGAGGAAAGTATTCTTCTCACTGAGGAATTGAGAGACAGGTCAAGAGACTTGTCACATCTCTATGGGAACGCAGAAATGCGGGGGTACACAGACCACTTTCTAGAAGTTCTCCATTGAACACTTCAAAGGTTTTGTAATAAATCTTCTTCTTCCTGGCCAGCAAGTTAGAAGAAAAAAGCTCAGTGTGTAAGTTTGTGTTTGACTCTAATGACGAGACTTGGAGCAAAGGGCTTTCCTTGGTCATTCATAGTCATTCATTCATTATGGACATTAATGTTGGGGATGTCTGTAGTGCTTCAGCATGTTTAGCATTGTGAGGTTATTTTAGGTTTGAATAACTTTGGTGATAGGTCAAGTAATTTGAGCACAACTTGGACAGAACAGTATAATCTTTTCCATCATCCTATTAGATTTTTAAAAGAAAAATTGAACCCCCAGTGGGTCAAGAGAATATGGCTTTGTCATCCATGGCTGTTGTCTTTGGAGGTCACTTGTGTGGCAGATTTACAGGCGTACCAGAAATGAACAAACATGTAAAAACTAAATTATAAATAAAATAAAATTTTAAATGTGATTAATTGCATTATTTTAATTATTTAAATTTTTAACACAGTAACACATTTGATTAATCAAATTTAATGCATTCCCAGCCCTAATGGTAGTAGAATTCCCCAAAAGGTTTTGGAATAAATTCATTGATATCACCATGCTAAGTAATTCTCTGCAGTGATTTTATCCAGCCAATCCAAAATAGTCAAATTTAATGTTTTCCTAGTCTTTTTTTTTAAGTTGTAGTTAATGGTTGTCAGGTGGTTGTAGTGCAAATTTTGTGTGAATCTGGCATCTTTTCTATAGCCTGTTAAGAAGTGGAGAAGCATCATACCCTTTCTTGGAAATACACACAACTGGGACATTTGAATCTTGAACACAAAAGGAATTAGAGATAGAAACCTGTATGTCCCAGCTTGGATTGGCTAAGGATGATTCTGAGGCTGGTTTGAAAGTTGCGTTTAACTGTTAGTTGCAGCAATGGTGCTGCAGGTGAGTGGAGAGAGGTATCATTGAGCAGAAGATGTGGATTTTGGCTTCAGCAGGCAGCTAAATTTCTCACTTGAGTAGTACTTGTTCTAACTGAATAAGTACTACTTGTTCAAAATACTGAATGAGTAGTTCAAAACATGTTGTTGTTTCAAACTACTTGTTTTAAACATTCCAAAACATGTATGCAACATTTTGTAATGTTGCATAACAAAACTAAAGTTCAGTCTTCAGGAAAGACTACCACTGCTTTATTTTGAGAAAGCGTTGTTACATAAAATGTTACATATTAACAATATTTTTTGCTTGAATTAGACTTTGGTTGTAATCTTATTTTTCTCTTACTTTGTTTGTTGTCAACAGGTGGCCAAGACTCCTGCCAATCCTAAATGCAGAAAAGGTAGCCAAGAAGATTATTCATGCTGTCCTCACAGACCAAGTCTACCTTCTACTGCCTAAAAGCATGTATTTCATCACTGCTCTGAAGAAGTGAGTTTATGCTGTTCCCTCTTACACTAGAAGCAAATATTCTGCTCTAATTAGTCCTATAAAGTCTAAGAAAAAACAGATCTAGAAAAATAAAGCTACAAGCAGCATTTCCCTTGCAGCTTAGGGTAATAATAATAATAATAATAATAATAATAATAATAATAATAATAATAATAATAATAATAAAGTCAGGTTTTCAAAAACATAGATATAAGAGAGAGAAAAAGACAAGAGTGTCTATTTGTAACACAGTTTTTCTCCAAGAGAGGTGAATAGACTGTGTGAGATTATCAACCATTTAGCATAGTTAGTTTAGCTACAGACTACTGTTTGCCTCCATAGCATTTAATGGATTAAGGAAAAGAAATACCAAGATATTCATATATCTAACTTGCTCCTTGTACCTTTTACCACACTTGACAACAGGTGAGTCAGTCAGCAGCAGCTCTAATCCCTGATATCAACATAAACCTTTACCCCCGTCCCAGTGAAAAAAGTGGGCAACTCTGTATCCAATGACAACCTAGTTAGCATCATTCCAGGGAATCTGTATGGATTTCTCTATGTCTTTGCTCTTTTTACAATTACACAACAAAAACAATATATTTGTTGCTAACAGAAATTCAAACAATCTTTATAAAATTATAAAAAACAGCCTCCTGTCTGGACTGCAGCCAGTCCACACAGTTTCACCTTGGCTTGTGTTTAAATTACAGATATCTGTTGCCACGTCCCTCCTGACCCGTCCTCTCCTAAGAGAAATTATAGCTGCATTATGTAACTTTTATAAAAAAAAATTTTTTACATATTTGTTGAAACTGCCATTGTGTTGTGGCAGTATGACATGAGAGATAATTTGTGAAAAAATTATTTCCTCTGCCTTCTCCCAGTGCTATCTAGAAACAACCAATCAGAGGCAGGAGGCGGGTTTTAGGTTTTAGCGCTGTCAATCACAATGTCATGTGACTCCCCCTTGCTCTGTGCTGTGCTGCAACTAGCATAGCACAGAGCTATGCAGATTCAAGCTGTGAATACTCAGTCTAGTTAACATAGCTACCAATCATGGCGGATAAACAGTTTTCCTGTGTTCATTTGTTTCTCCACATTTAACAGTGAGTGAATGAAGTTGATTAACAACACTAAAACCCTCCTCCTGCTTCAATCTAATTTTTTGTCATGGGGCCCAAGATTGCTGGTGGTGCCCCTGATGCCTAGAGACTGGTTGTTACACACCTGCGTCCACGGGAATGGTTGGAACACCTGAATTTAATGTTTAGAATGGGTATTTATAGCAAACTCTTACACAGCAATTTTTCACTACAAGAGTTTCCTAAGTTTAAATCCTGGGAGTGTACAGTTCAGTCTTCTTCTTGTGTATATGAGTTTCTAAGGTTGTCAATCGGTTTCCTCAACCTAAAGACTTGTCCTTAGGTTATGGTGGATTCAAAATTATTCATCTGTGTTTGTGTGTAATAATCCCATATCTGTTTTTGGCAGTAGGATTAAAAGGCAACCTCTCTAAGTTACACCCTTCTTCTGTTTTTACTACTGGTTAGAAGCACCAACATACCAAAGTACTTTGGTAAAAGTCTAAGATTTTCCCAGATTCACTCAAATAAAATTTCTGGCTAATATTATTAAAGAAAAAGGCTGCCAGACTGTCCATGTCCAAACAAACAAACAAACAAAACAAAAAAAAAAAAAAAAAAAGGTGAAGAGGCTCTGCTAAATGTTGGTTATGAAATATATCGGTTAAAAAGTTGATTTTCCCCGCATGTGACCAGGATAACACTTCAAAGGCACAGGCAACTTCCCTCTTGTTTCCTAATTTCTATGAAGAGTGATTATTTCTTATTGTAAAGATTTTGTGTCTCTTGAAAACACTTTGACTGTCACATCTTTTCTTTTACATGGAAACTATTGTATTTAGGCTTCTAACAATGTTTTGTATTCTCTTGCCTTTGTTTCCTCACTCTTTGAATACGGTCATTGTTGTTGAGGTTTATTAGTCATTCAAAAGCTGCTAACAAGCATTGATTTGGGAAGGAACAAGCATAATTCTAACATAACAAATAATTGACTACAAATGCTATTTGTAGAACCTTTTTCAAATAAAAATAGCTTGTGTGAATCCTAACAAACTGCCAATTGGTTTTTGCCCTGAAACATCACATTGGACATGTGGTGTATCTGTCTGTGTACAAAAAACCCTAATCATAACCTAGTACAAACTATGTTTTCACATTAGCCAGTAAAAAAACTAAAGTTAGGCACACAGGATAAACGGTTCAATTTCCCCATAGTTTGGGACATTCAAACCTGTATTTTCCTTTTTATACCATGTCTGTTTTTGAGATCATAAAGTTTATTTATTTTTTATTTTTTAATTACTGCTGCTCTCTGATGTGGTTACATACAATACCTACTCAGGTTAATCTGGAGCTTCTTGCTGCAATCCTTTCATGGAGGATATATAAATGTATTTATAAAGATCCTTCTGGTTTATTCAGTTTCTTCTGTTTGTCTACATACACATCTTCTAAAGAACGTCACTTTTGTTTAGTCAATGCACAAAATATTTTCCTAAATGGCTTGAGGGTCATTAAGATATTTATTGGTAATTGTGAGACTGGTCTCACAATTGGTAATTGGTAATTGTAACATTCCCATACATAATATTTTTTTCCAGTCTCTTTCTCATTGTCAGGGCAAGAATATCATATGAAGTAGTGAGGCCTGCAGAGTTTTTGATGTTATCCTGGATTATTTAGGGTGAATTTACTCTAAATAAAGTGTTTAGTCCACTTTAATCCAACTCCATTTTGTTTGCCTAGAAATCCGGTTCATTTGGGGAGGTGTGAATGCGCAATCAAACTCCGATGTCAGATCTTTCTTTTTTTAAAGACCAAGAGAAATCCTTCTACTGCTAAAATATCATGCCACTTAGCTTTTTTCATGAACAAGGTAACTACCTTGTTCAGCACTCAGTGTTTTCTTCAGTGGTTCTTCGTATGTGGATGTGCCATAACTTTCTCCAGTTGAACTAAACTGAAGTTATCTTTGCACCTAAAGAGGAACAATCTAGAGATGGCACACATCTTTAGTTATTACAGCTGGAAACAAAAGATCAGGCCTGAAATCTGGGTGTAGTAATAAACTCTGACCTGAACCTTCAGAATCACATAAGGTCAGTTACAAAGTCAGCCTTCTATCAGTTGAAGAACATCTCCAGGATTAAAGGACGTATGTCCCAGTAGGATCTAGAGAAACTCATCCATGCGTTTATCTTTAGTCACATTGATTACTGCAACAGCATCTTCACTGCCAGGTCTACCTAACAAATCAATCCTCCAGCTGCAGCTGATCCAGAACGCTGAACGCTTCTGCTGATGTTCTCCCTAAACCCAGGAAGATGGAGCACATAACGCCAGTTTTAAAGTCCCTACACTGGCTCCCTGTAGCTCAGAGAATAGACTTTAAAATACTGTTAGTTTATAAATCACTGAACGGTTTAGCACCACAATATATTAAAGATCTGTGGCCTCATGTTTAAAACTGTGCGCAGCTTTTGCACAAAAAATTGGCGTACGGACAAATTTATAGAAGTGCGGCACAAAAAAATTAAATGTACAAAGCCGTGCGAAAGCACATACCTGTTCACTTTTCCTTTATAAATCCCAATTTGCAGGACATAGAGCTGGTTCACCCTGTCACCACCCATAACTAGATATGTAAATTAATATAAATACCCGGAAGGCTGCCACCACGTGTCCTAGTAGCCATGGAAACAGCTCTTGCTTGCAGCAGTATTAGTATTTATGATAACTACATATTTTATTTAAAAGGTGCTTTCAGGGTACATGAGGTCACCTCACTAAAAAATAAAAGTTATACATTTCAAAGACAAAATTCCAAATAGAAAAAAAGAAAATAAAGAGATCTAAGTGGAAATGCCTGCTTGAACAGCAGAGCATTTAAAGAAAGACAGCATCCCAGAGAGTGAGAAGTGTGGACATTTATTCTAAATAAAGAAATTATGTGTTTACGTATGTGTTTATATTGTTTACATTTAAACAATAAAAGATTAAAAGCATGAAAAAACATTGGGTTTGATGCTTCTTTGTTGAAATATCAGTGAATGGAGTCAGGTTTCAGTATATTTAGGTGAGTTTTGACGCTTTGTAGTTTATTGTCCACAGAAAAAGTTTGCGTGGCTGCTGCACATTTACACAGCAGGTGAAAAGTTTTCATGCCATGTTCAATTTTATACATTCTGACTTGTGCGTAAAATATGGCATTTACATTTTTTTGTGCCTATGTATGCTTTATACATGAGGCGCCTGTTGTATCAACCTGCATCCCCAGAACCAGAACCAAACGTGGAGACGCAGCATTCAGCCTCTGTAAAGCCTCAAATCTGGAACAAACTTCCAGAAAATTGCAAAACAGCTGTTTTGTTGCGTTGTAATGCTTTTAATCTACACTAAAACCCCACCTGTTTAGAGTTACTTTTGAAACATTATGAACGAAACAATAAACATTCTGATGTGTAATGATGGTACTTGACAAATTGTAATGCCTTAATTATTATACTTTGTATTTTTGTGTTTTTATGATATAAAGCACTTTGGACTGCGTTTCTGAAATGTGCTACTCGAACGGTTTGGTTATTTGATGCAGTTCAGCAAGGATGCAAACTGCACAAGCAGAACATGTAACAAATGTTGCAATTTTGGTCCCCAATTGAGCTGAGCCTACCAGACTATCAGCTGTGAAAACACACTTAGTTATCTCCTGGGTGAGTCCTCAATCAGGGACTGGGAGGTCAGTTCACTGGATAGGTTTTCGTACTAACTGATTTCATTGACTTAATTTCTTAGGTTTTTAAGATTTCTGTTAAAAACCTAAGAAATTAAGGTTTTTAACAGAAATCTTAAAAATCTGCTTCTTAAGATTTTTTAGGGTTTTTTGACTTGCAGGTTTTGTTTAACAGCCACTAATTGGAGATATGTTTGACTTTTGACTTTAAATAAAAAATGTAATCACTATATTTACAATGTAATTAACAGTGGCAGTTATGTTTTCACAGAGCACCAAGTTGGTTTGGATAGCTTTTTTCATCTAGAACAAAAAAAAGCAATCATCAACTGAAAACTATCTTTCGATTTCTCAGGAAATCTTTCAGATATTGAAATTTGTTTGGCTATCTGAGCATTTGTAACCAAAAGGTAAAATTTGAAGAAATCTGTAAGGGATGAAATACTTTTTCTTGACTCTGTGTATTGTGGGGAATTGAATCCAGTGCTTTAACATCCACAATCTTTCAGCACTCTAATAATTTCTTTGTATTTCTCTTAACAGCATCCTGCCCATGAAGCAGGGCATTCTGCTGGGTCAGTACCTGGGAGCCTTTAATCTTATGGACACGTTCAGGGGACGCTCCAAAAAGCAAGAGTGAGAGAGCTGTCAGTTAGAAGATGATTTAAATGGAGATATTAAAACATTGAAGACATCTCTGTGAAGTTTCTTCATATTTAATTTGAAAACATTTAATTGTACACAGAAAATGAATACCAGTTGTGTAAAGGACTACCTTTTAAATAAATTAATGTTCATTATTTAGCTTAATGTTTTGAGTTCCTTGAACAAAAAGTCTGTTGTTATTGAAGTTATATGTCTGATTTGTTTCTGATTTAAGCACAATGTTTTATATAATAATCTTGTTCTTACTGACAATATATTATGGTTAATTTAGTTCCTTATTCTATATCTTAATTTTTTTTTCTTTGTGTGAACCTGCATACCCTGATCTCTTGTCACTTTGCTGCCGTTATCCCTGACAACGCCTGTTGCTGCTCTGCAAGTAGAAATGGATGAGATTAATTTATTTCTTGGAAAAGGTTTGTGATGTGTTAGATTTACCTGCAAGGATTTACAGGAACAAAACCCGACTATCGCAGTGTGTATATACATACAACAGTGAAAGATTTTGAGAAAGACTTGGATGTTTTGGTTTATTTTTGGGGGGGCTGTCAAAATTAACTTGTTAATCCTGCATTAATCCTGCATTAATTCTTTAATCTTTTTTTTAGCAATTAATTGAACAGATTCCCAAACTTTTTGGATATCATCAGTTTGTAATTTCTATCTCTGTTTCAACTGTTTCTACAGGGGCTAATCTCCTGTTTCTTACAAAGTTTATCTCACTCCTGTCCTTCTTCTCTCTTCCCACTCTGTGCTTCTCTGGTGCTGCAGCACAGCAGGCACTCAGACCCCAGGGAGAACCTCAAAATTATTTTACTGTTGTTGACAACACAGCATAGAGAAATATCATTTTACATATGACTTCATGACTGAAGCAACACTCAACTGCTATAAACAAATAAAAACATGAGCAGTGATAAACACAAAAGCATCAAAAACATTAAAAATGTCACCATGTTTAGCCTCGTACTGTTGAATCCTATTTTCATCATTTGGCAGCCCAAATAAAAATATTTATAACTCATTTATCAGCTCATTTCATTTCTTAAAAACAATTAATTATGCATGACTAATTCACAGCAATCCTGTGATTAATCAGATGAAAATTTTTTATTTTGCTTTTTTTTTTTGTTCTTTCATTTCCTTACTATTGTTATTTTTATTGTTTTTCTACAAGCCTTTGCGCAGCCTTGCTTTATGGGCTGTGGCCCAGAGCTCCACCCCGGTCAGGATATGTCACTTTTTATCCTGTAAAGAAAAGAAATGGTGATGTCTGCACGATAATGCGCGCTCCATAGAGCAAAGCGGAAATGTAGTTGTCTGTTGACAAATACACAATGCCCCCTTGTGGCATAAGCTGGTTTCAAATCAGCAGTCAGGAAAAATCATTTCTGAAATGCTCTAGGAGCCTCATTTATAAAAGAGTGTGCAGTTTTCAAACCAAAACTTGGCGTACGGTCAAATTTAGATGCTAATGTCCGCCCAGTGAAACAGCAACCATGGCAACGTCCTTGTTTGTAGCAGTAACAGTATTTATATTTTATGTAAAATGTGGTTTCAGGGCTCATAAGGTCACCTCACAAAAACAAAAATAATACATTTTAAGAAATAAAAAATCCAAATGAAAAATCCAAATAAAGAGGTCGTGCAGCAGAGCGTTCAGCCAGGATTTAAAGACAGACAGAGAGTCAGCGAGTCCATTTAGTGGGAATGTGGACGTTTATTCTAAATAGTAGAATCATGTGCAGAAGTCGTACATTTACAGAATAGAGATTCTTTCTCTCCATAAAGGCTCATTCACAAAGCGGGTGGCTCAACTGAAAGATGACTGAAGTTCCACCTGTACCGGTACCTCACGGCTCCTTTAAGTTCTGCTTGGAGCTCCAGGATGCTCAGTCCGGGAAATCTAAACACCAATAAACCATCATCAACATTTCCCAGCAGATCAATATGATCTCTGAACACACACTCCCTCTGAATCCTTCTATTGGATTGTCTACACACCTTGATCACCTTAAAAGTAATCAAACCTGTTTGGAGTTAATCTGCTGATCCAACCATGTTTTCTTTTTTAGTGAGAATTAAATTACCCATGCATTCAGACCAATGCGTTACATCTTTATGAGACCAAAACTGGGGAAATGTACTATTAACATTCAAGGAAAGTTTTCACATCCTTTTATTTTTATTTTCTTTTTTTTTGTGTTCGTGGTGAGCCCATAGGAAGAACTTCACCAGGAACGAGAGGGTAGCCTCCCTCCGCCTATGGGTGGGGGGTTGGATTCTGACCGTTGTTTGTGCTTATGGGCTGAACAACAGTTCAGATTACCCCCACCCTTCTTGGAGTCCTTAGAGGGGGTACTGGAGAGTGCCCCTCCTGGGGACTCCCTTGTTCTACTGGGGGACTTCAACACTCACGTGGGCAATGACAGTGAGACCTGGAGGGGTGTGGTTGGGATGAACGGCCCCCCGATCTGAACTCGAGTGGTGTTCTGTTGTTGGACTTCTGTGCTCGTCACGGAGTGTCCATAGCGAACGCCATGTTCAGGCATAAGGGTGTTCATATGTGCACTTGACACCAGAACACCCTAGGCTGCAGTTCGATGATCGACTTTGTCACCTTATCATTGGATCTGCAGCCGTATGTCTTGGACACTCGGGTGAAGAGAGGTGCGGAGCTGTCCACTGACCACTACCTGGTGGTGAGTTGGCTCCGGTGGTGGGGGAGGAAGCCGGTCAGACCTGGCAGGCCCAAACGTGTAGTGAGGGTCTGCTGGGAACGTCTGGCGGAGTCCCCTGTGAGACGGAGCTTCAACTCCCATCTCCGGCAGAACTTCGAACACGTTCCGGGGGAGGTGGGGGACATTGAGTCTGAATGGACCATGTTCCGTGCCTCCATTGCCGAGGCGGCTTATCGGAGCTGCGGCCGCAAGGTTGCTGGTGCCTGTCGCGGCGGCAACCCTCGAACCCGTTGGTGGACACCTTCGGTGAGGGATGCTGTCAGGCTGAAGAAAGAGTCCTATCAGGCCTCTTTGGCCTGTGGGACTCCAGAAGCAGCTGATGGGTACCAGCATGCGGCATGCGGCTCGGGTGGTCACTGAGGCAAAAACCCGGGCGTGGGAGGAGTTTGGAGAGGCCATGGAGAAAGACTTCCGTACGGCTTCGAGGCGATTCTGGTCCACCATCCGGCGTCTCAGGAGGGGGAAGCAGTGCAGCACCACCGCTGTTTATAGTGGGGATTGTGTGCTGCTGACCTCGACTCGGGACGTTGTGGGCCGATGGGCAGAATACTTCGAAGACCTCCTCAATCCCACCAACATGCCTTCCATTGAGGAAGCTGAGCCTGGGGACTCTGGGTCGGGCTCTCCAATCTCTAGGGACGAGGACGCAGAGGTGGTTAAAGAGCTCCTCGGTGGCAGAGCCCCGGGGGTGGATGATATCCGCCCAGAGTTTCTTAAGGATCTGGATGTTGCAGGGTTGTGTTGGCTGACGTGACTCTGCAATATCGCATGGACTTCGGAGGCATTTCCCCTGGTTTGGCAGACTGGGGTGGTGGTCCCCCTGTTCAAAAGGGGGACCGGAGGGTGTGCTCCAATTACAGGGGGGTCACACTCTTAAGCCTCCCTGGTAAGGTCTATTCAGGGGTTCTGGAGAGGAGGGTCCTTCGGATAGTCGAACCTCGGATTCAGGAAGAGCAGTGTGGTTTTCGTCCTGGTTGTGGAACACTGGGCCCCTCAGCAGGGTCCTGGAGGGTGCATGGGAGTTCGCCCTACTTGTCTATATTTGTTTTGTAGATTTGTTTCCGGTGAGAGTTGGACTCCGCCAAGGCTGGCCTTTGTCACTGATTCTGTTTATTACTTTTATGGATAGAATATCTAGGCGCAGCCAAGGTGTTGAGGGGATCCGTTTGGTGGCCTTAGGATCGCGTCTCTGCTTTTTGCGGATGATGTGGTCCTATTGGTTTCATCAAGTTGTGATCTGCAGCTCTCGCTGGAGCAGCTCAAAGCCGAGTGTGAAGCGGCCGGGATGAGAATCAGTGCCTCCAAATCCGAGGCCATGGTCTTGAACCGGAAAAGGGT